TCATAGTATTTGGATATACTAAGTGCTTAAAAATATTTGCTGAATGAATGAATAAAATACTGCGTTATAACTGTTGCATATTGTATACATAAATTGTATGTAATTGAATGCTTTCACAGACTCCGAGGAAACAAAAATTATCTTCATTTTAAAAATATAAAAATCACTTCTAAGAGGTGAAGTCATTTGTCCAAGCTCATATGATTTAAGTGGCAAAGCTGGGATTCAAGTGTAGTCTCTTCCTGATCCTTTATACAGTGGCACCTGGAGGAACTTGATAATTTTAAGGACAGTATTTTTTAAACTCCATTTATATTCCGTATTACCTTTGCTCATTTCCAATTGTAAACTAAAATTTTGCATAATTTACATATAAATTGATAATTTACACAATTTGTGGCAAATTAGACCTGAATTAGTCAGCAACAGTTGGAAAGAGCTCATGATAAAGTACGAAGTTCTGGCTATCAGAAAGGTGGAAGAGTATCAGTTTCTCAAGAGGAATGCACATTTAGAAATCAAGTTGAGAGCTAGGTACATTACTCTCAATATGCAGTTTAATCATCCATCTATCATCCATTGACTCACTAATTTATACCTTCATTGGGAAATAGTTATCAAATATATCCCATGTGCTAAGACTTGGTTAGGCAGAGGAAAGCAAATACAGTCTCTTCTCTTAATGAAATTTACAGAGTAGTAGAAGAGGCAGATATCACTGGATCATGCAAATTAAAGTCTTACCACACATGTTAACAAACAACAGGAAGGAGGGCTATACATTATGTGATAGAGTAAAACAAGAGGAGCTGACCAAGTTTAGGGCATCAGAGATATCTTCCCCAGGTCTAGAAATGAAGGCTCATAGAGCTCAAATAAGTTGCTCACATGTCAGAGCTTAAATTTGACTGCATGTCTGCCTGACTCTAAAGCCCAATCCATTCCTTATGGACACAGGTCCACCTCATGGCAGCCAGAGCCCTTCCTGATTCTAAATTTTCCTCATGAGTTCCGGAGCAACTAGACATTAAGGAATAGCATGGTCAACATCCTCTAGAACAGTTTTTTTTTTTTTTTTTTTAAACCACAAATGCAGAAGTGCTTTCCCTGTGACTGAGTTTTATAACGTCCCTCAGTAACTGTCAATAGCTAAACATCAGCCCAGAGTCCCCTGGATCACAAAGAGGTTTCTTCAGGATTACTGAGGTATAGAATACGTCTGGTGTGCACTGATGGGGTGCTCAGGTGACTGAAATAACTGGAGGAGCCTGCCAAGAGGATAAAATCGTGCTGAAAATCTAGAGTAATTTGGTAGATACTGATTTGTAGTCAATCTCTACTTCACTCATATGAATGCTCAGCTCAGGTCTTTCATGTCATACTAGATCATTTGGACTTTCTTTCCAAGGCAATGGAGAACACCTAGAAATAATATTGAGGGCCGGCCCGTGGCACTTGGGAGAGTGTGGTGCTGATAACACCAAGGCCACGGGTTCGGATCCCTATATAGGGATGGCCAGTTGGCTCACTTGGGAGAGCGTGGTGCTGACAACACCAAGTCAAGGGTTAAGATCCCCTTACCAGTCATCTTTGAAAATAAATAATAGATAGATAGATAGATAGATAGATAGATAAATAAATAATATTGAGAGAAGCTATCCAGGGAATAACTGGAGAAATCCCTTTAGCAGTGTGTGTAGGACCCAATTGAGAGGGAGGAGGAATGTTGGGAATTCAGTATGGCATGTTATTGAGAGAAGCTATCCAGGGAATAACTGGAGAAATCCCTTCAGCAGTGTGTGTAGGACCCAATTGAGAGGGAGGAGGAATGTTGGGAATTCAGTATGGCATGTTCTAGACCTCTCCCAGGAGATTTTTCATATTCCCCAGGGGTTACAAAATCAAATGTCTGCAGAAAAAAGGTAGATATCGAGAAGGAGAGAGCAAGCAGGTAGGAGATAATAGGTAGGGCTTGGGATCTTGGGCAACTGAAGAGTTCTGACCCTGTTTAAAAGCAGCTGCTTCTGACTCTACTGTTACCTGGAGAAAATGCAGATCCCGCCTTGCCAGACCACAAGATTTTTTAAAAGGAAAACAGAAATTTGGATTTGTAGGTTGAAAAGTCTAAATTTTTAAAACTTGGCAACTAATTAAAAAATTACATCACAGTGTGGGATAATCAGAATATGATTATGTACCAGAATCAGTCCTCTGGTCCCTGATTTGTGAACTGAAGCTCTGCTTTATATTCTTGCTGCTGTGGCCATATGTGACTGTAATCTTCCAGAGGTAATAGTCTATGACTAGGCACTCAGGTAGACAGGCACCTTTAAAATAAAGTAAACTGTGGCAAGACATTCACACAAATATCAGTCAATGGAAGTTTGTTAAACAATAAATATTAATGAATTGTGGACAGGAGGGCAACAAAGATCGCTATTGTAGACTCTGCTCTCAGCCATGTCTAGGTCAACGTTTTTGCCATGAATTTTGATGACAACATTGGTGTTTCACAAATCACAGCCTCTCGTGCCTGATGTGTAGGACAGTTATGTGTTGTGCTGGAATAATTTTGTTGGGTGGTGGTAAGAAGTCACCTAACAGTGATATAATATCATTGTAGCTCATTTACAAAATTTCAATGCTAGTTGTTTAACCTCTCTTACATTTAGAGTTGTCTGTAATTAGGAGAAATCATTCATTCATTCATTCAATAAATATTTCTTAGGCCACTGTGATATATCAGGCTCTGTGCTAGGACTAGGGGATTCAGTAGTAAACAGGACCTAAGCGGTGGCTAAGATCCACAGTGGATCTGTAATCAGGTGGGTGGTTAGACAACTAAACAGGTGTTGCAACACAGATTGACCAGTTCTACTTTCTACAGTTGTTTTGAGACTGAAATATGTATGAGTAAGTATATGTATGTATATATATCTACAGATATCGTCACAAATTGCCTGGTAAAATTGGTTGTCTTGCCTGTCTTGGGTGAAAATCTAGTAGAGAAAACACTTCGCGGCATCAGCAATAAAAGTCCTCAGTTCAAAATGATTACTCATAATTGACACCTATGATTATTATTATTATTATGTTGTGGGGTAGCTGCAGCATGTTTGCCTTTATGTCATGCATATTTATGTCCCAGAGCATAAATGGAGCAGCTCTTTCCTCTTGACCTTCAGTGGGTATCAGAGACCACTTTTATTTTTTTAAACATTATTATTATTATTATTATTTTTGGCAGCTGGCTTGTACAGACATCTGAACCCTTGGCCTTAGTCTTATGAGCACCACCAGAGACCACTTTTAGGAACCAGACATCAATAGGGAGCCAATGTTTCTTGTAGCCCATGGTTGGCAACAGTGGCTTTTCTGCATGGTCTCTCAAATGGGTTCCCTCATCTCTCTGCTCCATTTCTCTGAATCTGCCTCCCCCCTCGTTTCTCTGACTCCTCATCTTCGTGGCAGTTCTGAGGTGTCTGTCTTGGATTAGGGCCAGGAAGTTAGTTTCTGGGATTTATTTTGAGTCTCTTTGTTTTTGGTAAAACTCCAGGGACCAAACAAGTTTAGGAATTTCACTTGTATGTTTACCTCTCTGATTTATCGCAAAATTAAGGACACTTTCCTTCTTTCTTATCGGCCTCATTGATCCACTAGAATCAACTCAGAAGACTTGGGAGACATAAAATTTCTGGAGCACTTTAATGTGCATAGAACTAGAAATATGGGCTCTGATTCTAGTGTCTCCAGGATACTCTCTAGAGATGTCCCGTTGGGAAAGTATGTGCCCCCGTGGGATTTCTCCCCTCTACTTTAGGGTTCTCTCAACTGGAATGCCATCTCAGTTTTCTGGGTATGGGTATCCAGTGCTGCTACCTTGCTCAAGTTTTCACTCAATTATACAAATTTGAGAAATACTTTAGAATCATATTAGGGTAGGGGATTCAGGTGCTCTCTTGCTCTTGTGGGCTACTTACCCCCACATCAAATTTGTATCTACTGTTAAATACAATCCTTATAATCTCTCCTTTAGACATTCAACAGTCATGGGTTGTATCTTAATTCCAGCGGCCCTACCTCACTAACCTTGCCAGTTGTGTTTTCTTTCCTTTTCTGAAATCCAACAGTGCTCCATTCTGTAAAGCCAGTCCTAACTTTTCTGGGTATGGGTATCCAGTGCTGCTACCTTGCTCAAGTTTTCACTCAATTATACAAATTTGAGAAATACTTTAGAATCATATTAGGGTAGGGGATTCAGGTGCTCTCTTGCTCTTGTGGGCTACTTACCCCCACATCAAATTTGTATCTACTGTTAAATACAATCCTTATAATCTCTCCTTTAGACATTCAACAGTCATGGGTTGTATCTTAATTCCAGCGGCCCTACCTCACTAACCTTGCCAGTTGTGTTTTCTTTCCTTTTCTGAAATCCAACAGTGCTCCATTCTGTAAAGCCAGTCCTAACTTTTAGCTCTGCCAAGTCAGGATGCTTCTTGGTCTTTCTGATGCTCATGCCCACTCTTCCATTAGGAGCTCTTCCTCTGTTTCATGGCCCTGGCTTCCCATATCTGGTTGATTCCTGAAAGTGGATGTCCTTGACGTGGACTGGCTCCCTTTCCTTTTCCATGGTCACCTACCTGCCCTGCCTGGAAAGTCATCCCAGATTCTGACCTGTGCCACAGCCCTGGTTCAGTGCTCTCTTGGGCCCTTACTTGAGTACTCCTTGGACCCATTTCTTGGTCTTGGCTTTGTTTTCTGTATTTCCATGCTGTTCTTGTCATCATGCTTAGGCTTCTTAGCCCCTACTTGAGAACAGACCTTAGTGGATCTTAGGTTCTGGTCTCTTTACTATCTACAGAGCACACTGAGTTCATCAAATAAATCTTGGTTGTACAAGAGGGTATTGTGTCAAGCTGTGGTTGCCCTTATATCTAAGGCTCTCAATTCAGTCCCCTACCTTCCCTTTCTATGAATCAAAATACAATAAGACCGAAAGGTAAGGGTAAAATGGGCATTTTATTACTCATGGTAGCATAAATGGGATGAAAGTCAAATCTGGAGTGATGGTCTTTATAACAATTCTCCAATTAATAAGCACTCAGCCTAAACATTCTTTTCTCAGAGCTGGGTCGGGAATGGGATCTCATGTAGGGAAAAGCAGGGGTCCAATCTATAGGATGAGCCTAGTGAATATCCTCTAGTCCCAGTGAAGAAATGTCCGAGGGCCAAAGTCATTTGGGAGGTGTCTCCTGGGGGTTGGGAGGCCATCCTAGATAGGTCCATCAGAAAAGTCAGAAATCTCTCAGGCCCACAAGGCAATAAAGGCCATGAAGGCAAAACCAGCAAATACACAGCCCCACTTGGCTAGAGGAGCCTCAGGACCAGCTAGCTCCCGGGGCAGAATTTCTAGGAAGGTGACATACAGGAAGGTGCCAGCTGCCACACCCTCTAGCACAGCCTGGGCTAAACCCCTCCTCCCTTCAGAATCCCCTCCAGCCACAGCCAGTCCTAGGGCTAGGCCCAGGGGGGACATGAGAGCTAAGGACAGTATGGAGAACATGGCCCATCGTGATCCAGTGCCTGTCTGCACCAGCCGCAGTCCTACACCAAACACCACGAGCCCCTTATGAGCCAGGACGGCAAGACAGAGCTGCACAGTAGCTGCTACTGTTGGCTGAAGTCCCACAGCTAGACCTTCAAATACCGAGTGAAAGGACAGTGAGAGCAAGAGGATGAGGGCTCGAAGGGGACCCCGTGAGGCGGAAGGTAGAGGTCCGTGGCTGTGGAGTCCAAAGACGTGAGCCCCACTCTGTTCTTCCTCCTCCTCTGTTGATCTTCCAGCAGCCGCAGGACAGCACTGCAATGCCAGCGACTCCAAAAAGAAGACAAAAAAGAAGCCCAGGGAGATGATGAGCTCTCCATAGGGATACTCGATCTAGGAACAGAAAGAAGGGCTGTGAGATGGGAAAGGAAGGGAAGACAGTGCAGTGGATGACATGGGACTGGGAGATTGAGGAGAATGGGAAAATGTGGTAAATGAACAGAAAAAACGGTAGAGAAATGAAGCCAAGAGGAGATAAGGACGTACAACAAGAATGCCAGAGTGAGTACAGGACACAGTATCAATAGGGATAGAAATACAGGAACACAGTGAGAAGCATGTCAGGTGGCTATGGTTCTATTGATCATTCTGGCTTCACAGTCCTGAAGCTCGCATCTCTGCTGCTCACCTGCACCACAAACTTCTGGATCTCCGATTCAATTCCCTCCAGGGCTTCAGCGGTCATGTGCATGAGCCCTGCTCCCAGGAAAATACCAGCAGAAGTGCAGCCCAGGAGTTTGAGGACCCGGCGGTGACGACCTAATAAAAAGCAAACGTTACAACCCACTTGGCAATGAGGAGATCGAGAAAGGTGACAAAAGAGCAAGAGCACCCAGTAACCTGAGGTTGGGGATGGTGAGAATCAGAGCAAGGAATCAGGATAGGGTTGAGGTGAGACTGAGGTTATGGGGCAAAGATGGGATAGGGCTATACCTGTGGCTGCTTCAATGTGGAACCATTTGAAGCAGATGGGAATGAGGCCACAGCCCAGAGTGAGAGCCAGCAGGGCAAACAGGCAGCCAACTTTTACTCCTAGTAGTGGCTCCATCTCTGGGGTGTGGGAGAAGCAGAGCCTCAGAATGACAAATGGAGTTATTCGGAGCAGGAGTGGTATCTTAGATGGTCAAAGCTGGAGTGTCCACTCCCCTGAGTTTTAGGAGACTTGGTATCCTTTCTGTTCTGTGTTGCCTCTGCTTGCTCAGCTTTGCATAGCTGACTTGGGCCCTGCCCCAGCTTCCCGCCCTCCCCCTACATGGAGGCCCCTCCCCTGGCTCATGCCTTCCTGAGCTTGGAAGCCAGAAACTCCAGACTCCCTGCCAGGCACAGCCCAGTGCTGTCTTCTCCTCTTCAAACATGAGAGCTAAGGACAGTATGGAGAACATGGCCCATCGTGATCCAGTGCCTGTCTGCACCAGCCGCAGTCCTACACCAAACACCACGAGCCCCTTATGAGCCAGGACGGCAAGACAGAGCTGCACAGTAGCTGCTACTGTTGGCTGAAGTCCCACAGCTAGACCTTCAAATACCGAGTGAAAGGACAGTGAGAGCAAGAGGATGAGGGCTCGAAGGGGACCCCGTGAGGGTGAGGGTACAGGTCGGTGGCTGTGGAGCCCAAGGACGTGAGCCCCACCGCATTCCTCCTCCTGCTCTGTTGATCTTTCAGCAGCCCCATGACAGCACTGCAATGCCAGCGACTCCAAAAAGAAGACAAAAAAGAAGCCCAGGGAGATGATGAGCTCTCCATAGGGATACTCGATCTAGGAACAGAAAGAAGGGCTGTGAGATGGGAAAGGAAGGGAAGACAGTGCCCCGCCCTCCCCCTACATGGAGGCCCCTCCCCTGGCTCATGCCTTCCTGAGCTTGGAAGCCAGAAACTCCAGACTCCCTGCCAGGCACAGCCCAGTGCTGTCTTCTCCTCTTCAATGCCATGACTAATCCAAGGGCTGTGGACAGTCTTAGTTCATGCCTGGGGTTGGTCTTCTACAAAATGGAACAGTCTATGGTGGCTAATTCCCAGCCATTTTGTACTGGGAACAATCTGGTCCTGACTCACTGAGGACATTTGATCTAAGCCTTCCACAGCCTCTCTACCCTATCCCAAATCTTACAGATTGCTATGCTAATTCCTGAACCACACCCATTCAGAAGGGATTTGATTTGAGTCCACCTGGGTGTAAAGAGCGATAACCAAGAAAATCTGCTCTGACCAGGTCAGCTAAATTTTAGTGCCTTTGGAGTTCTGATAAAAATCAGTAGTTAAGTCCATCTTCTCTGGTTACCAGAGGACCATTTTTACTTAGAAGGAGATATAATGGTACGAAAAAGCCATATAACAACCTAGGAGGCTTCTTGTATCCCTGCGTGTAGGATGTAACCTAGTAACAATCTGAACTCTATACTTTATGCACAACCAATAGAAAACCCGATGAAATAATTAGGCAGGGCTGTCCTCTCCTTGATCCTTCCCCCTTCTTGTGATTACAAAATGCTTAACACTGCTGGCTCTCTTCAGAGAGAATATCTCAGGGTGGACTTGACTTCTGTGTTTCCCTAGCTGAAATTGTTGTGTTAGCTCAATAAATCCTATGCGTTGTATGTTTGGCCTCTATTTCTTTTCGGTCAACAAGAGGTGGGGCTGAGAGATGGTGCCGCTGCCAGTCTGTGAGAACTAGTAGGTATGGGGACTTCCCTTTCTTGGAACCCCAGAAAACTAGCTGTAGGCATGGAAATGCCTAGTAGGGAGTTGAGATTTCTAGTACTCCAACACTGATATGTTACAACCTTGGACAATGCCTGTTTCCTGACATAAACTGTGAGAGAGGGACTTTGAGTTTTATGGTGTTGACCAAAATTCAGGCTGTTGATGCGAAAGATTTTTAGAGAAGTATATTGGGAGCGGAATGTGAGGCTTAACCTGGGAAATACAAACCAACAGAGTTGGAAAGTATTCCAAAGTCTGCTATGAGCAAAGGCATTTTAAAGGGGAGTTTCACAAGGGAGGGGGAAAGCTTCAAATACAGTTATCCTTTTCTCATGGAATACAAGAATCACAGTCATTGGTTAGTGATTACAACATGAGAGCTAAAAGCGTCCAAAGGCAACCTGAGCCAGAAGCTTCATGCTTCAGCTATTCTCAACAATATCTAAGTGGCTTATTCAGATTCAGCAGATTATACACTAATCAAAAAATCAGTGTTTATCTTAAGAAAAAGATGTCTACATTGAGGTCATGAGACTTGTCCCAAGGCAGTTTTGGAAATCTGCTTCATTCTGATTATCTCTTTCATCAAAGACAAAGAAAGTTGCTGTAGCCCTGAAACAAAAAGGCCTAGGGGAAAACAGAAATGAACCCAGTAAATGGAAGGATCTTGCCCAGATATATATGGAAGGAGATGGAAGCTTTGGTCCTGATAGAGATCAACTCTTGAAAGAACTGTATGGGGCAAACTCTAGGGTAGCTGAGAAACCCAGGGAAGACGAAAGGAAAGGAGATAGACAAAAATAGAGACTAGGCAGCTGCTGGTTCCCCTATTCGGGTGGCTGACTAACAACCCAGAGACCTGTTCAGCCAGTTCTCAGAGAGGTGGGGGCCACTTTCCCCACTATTCCAAATTATCCTCCTGGAAAAGTCCTTGTCTCTGATAGAAGCAGCAGTAGTTTTACAGGAAAGGGTGAGCTTGAGATTTGTGTGGGAAGCTTGGCACTTATAATCTGAGGATTCATTACAGGATAGGCCAGAATAACTGACTTCTATCCCTTTAAGAATCACAAAAACCCACTTCCATTCTTTAAAAATTTATGATGATGATTATTAAAACCAATTCAGACATATGGGGGTACCAGCACTCTCATCCTGGATACCAGGTAGCTTCAGCCTTGGCAGGCATGATAGAAGAAAATACTTGTTACACATCCCTGTCAACTCTCAAAGAGATCTTGAGTAGGGGATGGAGGAAACTCAGATGGAGTGATCACAGGTAGAAGTGTTACCGAGACCCCAAAGGTCTGTTTGCTTGCTGCTTAATAGCCAATAATTGAGAGACACGTGTTGGTGTAAGGAAAGGTAGCCTTCATTCAAGAAGGGGGCAGCCTGGGGAAATGGCGGATTTATGTCTCAAAGACCATCTCCACTTTTCCCAGACATGCAAAGGAGTTTTATAGGGATAAATGGTAGGGGGGCTGATTCATGGTGATCTAAGCAGGGATGTCAGGCATAATCATAAAATTGCAGATAAACATCAAAGAACTTCCCGGGTGGGAGTTGACTCATGGGAACAATCTTCTGTGGGGTCAAGTTATGAATTCAGTCCTGTTGACCTCAAAAAGATCTAGTTAGTAAGCTGGTAAAGAATTGCCATCTGAGTTAATAATTTCTTATATAATTTTCTGTGTAGATGTGAACAGGAGTCATTATGTTCTAGCAATCATGTGAACAAGAGTCATTGTATTCTAATGTCAAGCTGCAAGCTATGCGGTTCAGGTTACAAGGGTAAGGAGGAGAGAAAAAACTGTTAAATTTAGAAGTTTAACAAAATGGAGTCACTCCTGTCGGTCTATTACAGAAGATATCCTCAGGAGCTGGCTCGGGAACAATGACACAAATCCCTATGGAAAAAAGATGTCAGTGTGGGCTGCAGGATCTTGCCACATCCCACTAATTTTGGTCACATCCTCATACCTGCCATTCCAGTGGGCTGTGATCGCAGCGTGCTGCGTGTGCCCATCTGGACAGCACAGGTGACAACGCACATGGTGAGGCCGTTTAAGGATAGGTTGAGTGATACAGGGCCAGCCCTCTGGTCCCCAATTTGTGGACTGAAGCTCTGATTTATATTCTTGTTGCTGTGGCCATATGTGACTGTAATCTTCCAGAGGTAATAGTCTATGACTAGGCACTCAGGTAGACAGGCACCTTTAAAATAAAATAAACTAGGCCGGCCCGTGGCTCACTCGGTAGAGTGCGGTGCTGATAACACCAAGGCCCCGGGTTCGGATCCCACATAGGGATGGCTGGTTCGCTCACTGGCTGAGCGTGGTGCTGACAACACCAAGTCAAGGGTTAAGATCCCCTTACCGGTCATCTTTTTGAAAAAAAGAAAAAAAAGTGCTGCTGTAAAAAAAAAAAAAAAGAAACAAGATGATAAAAGAAAACATACATGTATTTGCTTATCGTTACAAAAAGAAACATAGGAAAGATAAAGCAGAAACTATTGAGATTGCCTAGAGGCAATGGGTGGCAGCTGGGTGGAAGGTAGAGGACAGAGAAGAGACACTTCTCTGAGCATACTTTTATTTATTTATTTATTTATTTATTTCACATTCACTTTTTTTTTTAAAGAAAATGTAACTTTATTAATATTATTCTTTACATGCTAGGATGTTGTTGCAGAAAACAAGAGATAATCATAAGATGTATAAGTCATTTCTAAGGAAGTTAAAATACTAAAATATTAATCTTAAAACATAATCTTATGTTTATATACTTTGACATTTTGTTTATGTGGTATTAAAAAACTAAATATATTTAGATCCGTTAATAAAAAATTTTTGAGGAAACATATCTTCCCGGAGACTATAAAATGTTTTTTTTTTTTACTTTACAGATACTGATATAAAACAGTTTAAAATTACTTGCCTCACTGGAAATCTGGGTAAATGAAGTTAAGATTGTAGTTAATTATGTAATTAAAACTACTTAATATAAGAAAATAATTTGTATAGAGAGTTTATATAGAAAGTAAATGTGTTTTTGGTGAAAAGGTTACCAAAAAGACATGATAATATTATTTTGTTTTTGTTAAAAACGAAGTAATTTTGTTTAAACTTAAAGGGTATTTAAGGGTTTGGTTTTTTATTTTTTTATTTTTTACTTTTTTATGAAGATGACCAGTAAGGGGATCTTAACCCTTGACGTGGTGTTGTCAGCACCAGGCTAAACCAGTGAGCTAACTGGCCATCCCTATATGGGATCCAAACCAGTGGCCTTGGTGTTATCAGCACCACACTCTCCCGAGTGAGCCACGGGCCAGCCCCTTAAGGGTTGTTTTAAAAAGAGGAATGTGTGGATAAAACTAAATGGATATGGTAAGTTAAGAAAAAAAATTTTTTAAGAAGTTATACAATGTTCGTAAAAAAATCTTATGTGGTCGACACTGTTTAAAATTGAATAAATTTGTTTATAAGATTTTATCAAATTTAACCTTAGAATTAACAATATGTTAGCCCTATTTATTGTTTTTGAGTATTTATTACTTGGACTAAATCCTGAATATATTTTTTTTTTTAAAGATGACTGGTAAGGGGATCTTAACCCTTGACTTGGTGTTGTCAGCACCACGCTCTCCAAAGTGAGCTAACTGGCCACCCCTATATAGGGATCTGGACCTGTGGCCTTGGTGTTAGCAGCACCACACTCTCCCAAGTGAGCCACAGGCTGGCCCTAAATCCTGAATTTTAACAAATATCCCTTCCTGGGAAGTTCTCTTCAGGCTCCACGATGGTTTCACACTGGTCAAATGATTCGGTCCCTTTACAACATATGGCCAAAGGCTCTTCCATTGCTATTGCTCAACTTGCACTCTCCCTTGTTTGAAAAGCATCATCTTTCTCCCTTTGAAATAATAACTGGTAGACCTATGCACCTAGATGAATGACTTTATGAATCAGCTCTTCTAAAAGGTGATATTCCTTCTTACCGCCAAGGCCTTATATAGCTCCTCACCAAAAATTCTAAATTAATAAAGGATTCCTTCCACAGCGAGCTCCCAGAAGAAAGACATCAAAGACTATGGTCTCCAGCCCAGACTGTTTACTGGAAACATCATCAAATAAAAAAAACTCCTTCCAGTCACACTGAAAGGGACTATGTCGGGTATTGTTAATCAATCCCTATGCAGCTAAGGTTAAAGGCATTGACTCAAGGATTTGTGTTTCTTATTTAAAAATGGCAAATCCATCTGAGTGGAGCTCCTCCATGACTGGAGATCTTCAAATGAAGTTAACCCATACCCAGACACCTCAAACTTCCAGTTAGGAGGAGAAAATGGCATCTGAATAGATAGCATTTTCTCAAGACTCTCAACCTGACCTGTTAACAATTCCATGATTAATGTTGCCAAAACATCTGGACTTTTACTTTTACTCTGGGGAATTCTTCTAGTCTTAGGCCTTTTGACAGACTGTGGGTCTCATCTTTGGTTCACATTTTAACTAGGTTATGTGACTCAAGATTACATACAAAGTTAAACTCTTGCTCTAATATTTGTTCTCCCAGGCCTATGCCAAGTTAAGACTTACTACCCAGTTTAAACTGTAAAAGTGCCCTTAGTTTTTTTTTCTTGCTGTTTTTCATCATCCAGCCCATGAACACTCTGAAAGGCAACCTATTTCTGCAAACTATTTCTACAACTAGCACACTCTTTTGCCCCAGGGCACAACTTATCCTCCTGTAGATATGTAACAAATGCCACTATCTAGTTTTTCAGGTTTGCCAAGTATTAAAAGACCTGACTACCTTTTTTTTTTCCTTTTTGTCTTTTTTCGTGACCGGCAACGGATCGCAACCCTCAGTGTCGCGCCCGTACCGGACCGGGACCGGCAACGGGATTGCAACCCTCGGTGTTGCGCCTTCACCTTGCTCAGCCAGTGAGCGGCCGGTCTGTATGTGGGATCCGAACCCTCGGCGGGAGCGCCGCCACACTCTCAAGCGGCGCACGATAGCAGTGCGCCACCGGGCTGGCCCAAGATCTGACTACCTTCCCATCACAACTCCCATGTTGCTTAAAATTCAGACTTAGACCTGGAGGCCAGAGCCTAATTTCTTTCCCTCCTGAATGGGACATAACTTCCAGAATGAGCCTTCCCAGTGAAAGGGACCAAAATGTCTACCTGAGTTGATTATCACTTTCAGATGAAAGATTTTGATCAACAGGGGTTAAGTGATAACCAAAAATATCTGCTCTGACCAGGCCGCCTAAATTATAGTTCCTTGGGAGAGCTAAGTCTCTAGTCACATCCACCTATCCTGGAAAACTTTATCCTAAGACTATTTATACTGAACAGATATAATGGCACCAGAAAGCCATAAAATAACCTAGAATGTTTCTTGTGACCCTTACCCTAGATCTCTGCCTGTAGGATGTAACCTAGTAACAATCTCAAATCTATACTTTACATATAAACAATAGAAAACCTGAATTAAGCAGGGCTGTCCTCTCCTTGAACCTTTCCCCCTCTTGTGATTATAAAATGCTAAGCTTTGCTGACTCTCTTCATATAGAATTTCTCAGAGGGTCTTGACCTCTGCATTTCCACAGCTGAAATTGTTGTGCTAGCTTAATAAATCCTATACATTGTATGTTTGGCCTTTATTTCTTTTAGGTCAACAAGAGGTGGGGCTGAGAGATGGTGCTGCTGCCACTCTGTGAGAACTAGTAGGTATGGGGACTCCCCTTTCCTGGAACCCAGAAAACTAGCTTTAGGCATGGAAATGCCTAGTGGGGAGTTGAGATTTCTGGTATTCCAACACCGATACTGCCACAACCTCTAAAAATACCTGTTTCCTGATATAAACTGTGAGAGAGACTTTCAGTTTTATGATGTTGACCAAAATTCAGGCTGTTGATGCGAAAGATTTTTAGAGAAGTTTATTGGGAGCTGAATGTGAGGCTTAACCTGGGAAACACAAAGCAACAGAGTTGGAAAGTATTCCAAAGTCTGCTATGAGCAAAGGCATTTTATAGGGGAGTTTCACAAAGGTGGGGGAAAGCTTCAAATACAGTTATCCTTTTCTCATGGAATACAAGAATCAGTCATTGGTTAGTGATTATAACATGGGAGCTAAAAGTGTCTACATGCAACCTGAGGCAGAAGCTTCATGCTCCAGCTATTCTCAATAATATCTAAGTGGCTTATTCAGATTCAGCAGATCATACACTAATCAAAAAACCAGCAATTCTAACCATATACAGTGTTTATCTTAAGAAAAAGATGTCTACACTGAGGTCATGAGACTTGTCCCAAGGCAGTTTTGGAAAATTTGCTTCATTCTGATTATCTTTCATCAAAGACAAAGAAAGTTGCTCTAGCCCTGAAACAAAAAGGCCTAGGGGAAAACAGAAATGAACCCAGTAAATGGAAGGATCTTGCCCAGATATATTTGGAAGGAGATGGAAGATTTGGTCCTGATAGAGATCAACTCTTGAAAGAACTGTATGGGGCAAACTCTAGGGTAGCTGAGAAACCCAGGGAAGACGAAAGGAAAGGAGATAGACAAAAATAGAGACTAGGCAGCTGCTGGTTCCCCTATTCGGGTGGCTGACTAACAACCCAGAGACCTGTTCAGCCAGTTCTCAGAGAGGTGAGGGCCACTTTCCCCACTATTCCAAATTATCCTCCTGGAAAAGTCCTTGTCTCTGATAGAAGCAGCAGTAGTTTTACAGGAAAGGGTGAGCTTGAGATTTGTGTGGGAAGCTTGGCACTTATAATCTGAGGATTCATTACAGGATAGGCCAGAATAACTGACTTCTATCCCTTTATGAATCACAAAACCCACTTCCATTCTTTAAAAATTTATTATGATGATTATTAAAACCAATACAGACATATGGGGGTACCAGCACTCTCATCCTGGATACCAGGTAGCTTCAGCCTTGGCAGGCATGATAGAAGAAAATACATGTTACATATCCTTGTCAGCTCTCAGGGAGATCTTGAGTAGGGGATGGAGGAAACTCAGACGGAGTGATCACAGGTAAAAGATCTCACCAGGAGGTGGCACGGGCATGATACAAATCCCTATGGAAAAGAGATGTCAATGTTGGCTGCAGGGTCTTGCCATGTCCCACTAACTTTGGTCATATCCCTATCTATACCTGCCATGCTGGTGGGCTGTGATCACAGCATGCTGCATGTGCCCATCTGGACAGCACAGGTGACAATGCACATGGCAAGGCCATTTAAGGATAGGCTGAGTGATACGGGGCCAGCGATTAGCTTCCTATGGAGACTCCCAGGCAAGGATCACCGTAAAGAACTTTTCCTCCATTGTCTTCTCTTTCTAGATACGGATAAAAAGACTGATTAGAGGAAAAAAAAAAAAAAAAAAAAAAAAAAAATGGGAAGAACTTTTTAACCCCTCCTCTCGTGCTATAAGCCTTTTTCATATTCTGTACATCACATACCCGCAAGCCCTAAAATATCTAGGCTATTCTATGAATTCTCCAACTTCTGCCACCTGTGATTCTTTTTCTTCCTGTTTTCCCAGTTAATTTTCTCACTGGTACAACATTCCCAGGGTACATACTCAGCTAAAGGGGATGAGATGGTAACCCCAAAAGAACCTATAGGCCAGGGGTTTAGAGACTGTCAATTTGGGACAAGAGAGTTCATGGGGACACTGAACACACATAAAGACATGATATATGACAAAAGAGCAGTCAATAAGGAAACTTAAAAACTAAGAGTCAAGAGGGGAGAAGGGAGCATGGATGTAGGGGGTAGGGAGAGCCAGGGGAATCACTAGGTAGAAACTGGATAGGGACAAAGTAGTGGAGAGTGACTTAGCTTTCCTCTCTCACTTTTCTTGGCCACACCTGATTCAGATCTGTGTGCTGGGACATGCAGAAGTGATACTCACCGGGGCAAAGAAAAACCAGGTTGAGAGTCCAAGGGTGACTTCTCTTTTCCCTGAAATCAAAAGAAATCAAAGAAATAAAACTGGACCTGAGGAGTCTGTTTTCATAATTCAATCTCTGCACCAAGTTGAGGAATCCATCTACACTCAATTCTAATAATGATTAACTATGTCCTTTGCGTTAAGCTGGCTGCATCTAATACTTGAAACAAAGAAGTTTCTCTTTGCAGCAGGAAAAAGGCAGGAACTTGGCACATACCATGGTGCTCTCCCTTGTCAGCAACCTCTACTCTCAAAAAAGTCCCACTCCAGGACAATTACATTTATGATTATACAGTGGTTCAAACCCTCCCACAGAGACAAGTTTCTTAGCTCAGCAATGCCCTATTGGCAAAGGTTTTTGTTTGAAGGACCAGAGAATAGGCAAAATCTGTTTTTGTCCCAACTATTCACTTCTGCTGTTTGTAATGTGAAAGTGATCATGGACAACAGAAAGAGACATGAATAAGCATGGCTCATACAAAGACACGTAATGGACCAGACTTCATCCACAGGCCCTCCTTTGCCAACCACTGCCCTGTATCATGAGGACTTCATATGCCTAGTTTCCTGAAAGTCACTCTTACCAATGTACGGTAGAGTCTCTTTAGTTTTCAAGGGAGTAACAGTAATTACTCCCTGACAGATGGGCAGGGAGTAAAAGAAGGAGAAGGAATCTTACCTTAAGAACCAGGTCCCTGGCATCCATGAGAAGGCGGTGCCCAGCTTTTGTTCCATTCTCCACCAATACCTGTTCACAAAAGGAGAAAATAAGCAGAAGCCCTGAATTACATAAAAGCATAAATGTCAGTAGCTCTCTAAGAGCATTAGCAGGTAAAGCTGTCGTCCTAAAACGAAATGGGCATTATATATAATAAGATGAGGATGGAGACCCTAAAGAGAGATAAAGAGACCTGTAAAAAAAAAAAAAATCATGTTCAAGAATGAAGACAATGAGAAAAAGAAGGGAAAGAAATCTCTAATGAGAGAAGGAAAGACATAAAACCCATGCAGCTGCTTTTAGATTTGAGAGGAAAAAGATTTCAACTCACCAGAAAATGAAGTGTCTTGTGCCATAAGGTTTGAACTACCTCAGCGCGGTCAGCCTTGCTGGGCAGTTCACTTAGGGAAAAGGCTGACACGACCATATCAAATTGTACCTGGGGACCAAGACAAAGAATATGACAGATCTGACACTTCCTCATTTCCAGAGTTCAACGAAGTCCTATCCTCTGAATTTCTTCTATTGCTTTCTTTTATATCCAACAGTCAATGCGGGGTTGCAAAGCTGAGGCCATTGTTTTCCATCTACCACATTCCACATTTAGAATACTCTAAACACTGCCACTTGCCTTTGGTGATACAGGTAGAAGCTGTCTGAAAAAGACAGCCGGAACGTAAGGCTCCCCAGATTCTGAACAACCTGTGCAGGAGAGAAGAGATGCAGCAACTAAGAGTGCATATGAAGTTAACGGCCACAGGAATAATCTGAAGAGATATACAGACAAGAAACATGGCCCTGAGAAGAATGAAAAACACTAAGTGAGAGGGAGAGGTGACAGCGTAAGTATTAAAAAGGGCAAAGAGAATACTGGGTCTTCTGTCCTGATTACCTTACTCAACCCACCCACAGTCCAGCAATGGCCTCTAACACTCTCTGCTTGACCCCAGCATTGGAAGGAGACCAACTTCATCTTAACTTTTAGCCCTCTCCTCTCCTTCCTAATAAAACACGCTTTCTAGAACTGCTTTACTTTTTAACTCCCTCAACTTTGGAAGAGCCCTTCCTTATACCTTATTCTCATCTTTCAGTAGCTTGTCTGCCAGATTCAACATGGCAGCTGAGCTGTCCACATACATATATTCCACATAGGCTCTGGCCCCAAGTACTGTGAGTAGACCTAAGATTGTAAAATATGAATCACCAATTCTCATGAGAAAGCCTCTTCCCTATAAGAAATCCAACTACTTCCAAACCCACCGGTGGGGAAAAAGGATGTTACGTTGGAATAACTGAAAAGAACTAACATGTGATCTTATTTCATTTACAACTTTTAAAAAAAGAGCAGACTCAAATAACTATTTGTAGGCAAAAATGTTTTTTGATTTATATGTAAAACCTATGCCCTATACTAAATTCCTTTCCTTTTTAAGCTTTCTTTAAATATGGGCCTTTTTTCACTTGACATTTCTTAATGTTCTGGCCCCAATCCATATACCTTGTTCTGTCTCGCATAATCAGAGGAAAGAAACTTTCTAGGTTCCTAATTTTCCTATTGTCCCTCTGGTTTCCCAGTCTTTTGATATCAGACTGGTATGATATCAGACTGGACTGGTATGAGTATGTCTCTCTAGAGCTAGAATTGACAAAGATGGGGCTAAAGAAAGTTACTCACCAGGTGACAGAACCAGTACCTGAACCAAAGTCCATCAAGGTTTGTGGTTGGAACTCTGGAATTCGAGCCCATCTGAGAAATATACAAGACCCCATAGTTGGGCAAGTAGACATTTGTTTAGGGCCTTGGTAAATATGAATTAAGCGACTATGACAGAGAAGGTAAGATGTGAATGTCTTGAGATTCAATGTAAATATCTTATAGAATAGGAAGCTCCTAAAACAGTGATTCTAAAGCTTTCTTGGGTCACAGAATCCTTTCAGAGGATAAAGAGAGCCTCTTTAAAAAAAGATGCATATGCAATGGCCCAAGAATCCCTACCTCTGAAAAGTCTACCTTATGAAAAAGGGAAGTGATGCTAAAAGGGTTCAGGTTCTAAGCTGAGGGACTTTCACCTTATGGAATGCCCTGATGACTGCTGCAAAGCCACCATGAAGTCCTGCTGCCATATACACCAGGCTCAGTCCCTCATTGTATCTGCCACAAAAATCAGAGTCAGACCCACTGGGAAATGACCTCAACGCTACAGTTACCTTCTATGCTTTTAGGAAATGAAATCTTTGGAAAGGGCTCTTCCAGCTCTGCCCTTTTCACTCCCCAATACAGAAGAGTCCTGGGGAGCCTTACAACTCAGACAGCTTTTTCAGACACTAAATTGATCGTGTAATTGTACTCCCCTAACTTTCCTTCTAAAGTCCAAGTTTTCTTTTTTTGGCACCCTTCCTAGTCCCTCCTACCTCAGTTTTTTCCAGTGGTAGGTAGTTTTATGCCGGGCATCTAGCACTGCTCCATGAAGTTCTCCTCTGTCTTCAATGAGTCTGTGGTGAGAACAAGGACTGGAAATGAGGACCTAGGGAGAATAGAGCTCAGATCCAACATGTGAACATATTGCCCACTCAATCTTTCTCCACTCCCACCCAAGAAAAGCCTCAGAGTTCAAGAGAGAAGCCAAACCTAGAGAAAAACTTCAGGTAAGAATAACAATAACAATCACTACCATCAGAGAGTACCAGTGAGTATTTTGCTTCTAATTGCAGTTTATTTAACTTAACCAACCCTAGATCACCAACCAACCCTTTATATTAAAGGGAAGTGTGATAAAAATTTAAAGGATAGGATAAGAATAACATTTTGTATTTATCCTCACTTCCCTGAAACTAAGGTTGTGACATTTCCAATGTTCCTATGGGGAGGGAAAGATCTTGAAAATCTAAGTTTCGTGACTGCGTTCAGTTCAGTACTACTTAGCAAGTATCTACTGATCATCTGCTCTGAGTCAGGTATTGCTAGAAGTGCAAAGAACACAGATGAATAAAAGGCAGGTCTGTAATATGAAAGAGCTCACCATCAGGATAATTACTTGAAAAATTACACTTATTCTTCTATTCCTCAAGAGGATTTCAGTACTAGACAGGGAGCCATATAGGAACTTTATTTCAGCTAAATAAAAAACCAAAGATCTAGATTTCAACAGTATACTGGGGCACACTCTGACCTTTACTCACATCACGAGAGCAATCTCTGGAATAATCTACCTTCTCTACTTTGTAAGGAATCATTGAAACAACTGCTCTCACCAGAAAGTCAAACAAAAAACAGTATGTATTTGACAGACTGTTAAATTATTTCTAGCTCTTCATTTCCCACTGATCTTTCCATCTGGCCTACTCTCTAATTCTTCTGAAGTCCTACCCGAGTTTTCCAAGAATTTTTCCTCAAGGTGCACAGCCCGTCTTTGCAACTCCTCTGGCTCTACAGGTAAATGTCGGCTCCAGAGATAATTGGTCAGTGCTTGCACCTGCTTCTCCGCACTGGGCACGGCGCTCTCTATGGGCCAAAGAGGAAACGCGGAATGACGTGCGCGCAGGCGCAGGCCCGTCTCTCCTCGGGCCTCCCTTTCCCCCGTTACTCACCGAGCAGCAGTAACTGCGCAGCGTCAGCGAGTGCCCGCGGCAGCCGCACGTGCGGTAGCTGCAGGATGCCAGGGTGCTGGCGATGCGGCCTCTTCTCCAGAAAACCGGACTTGTTGTCTACTTGGGTCACGCCGGGCACGAGGGCGGCGAGCGCCTGCGTGGCGGGAGAGAAAAGCTGATTGCCGGTCGGAAAGGAAGGTTGCGAGCGCTCGCTAAGCGGAGGGGCTCTCGGCGAGCAGCGAAAGTATGTACTCACCCGGGACTGGGGGGCTGCTCGAAGGCCGCGGCGCCATCTGCCTGATAGCACTAGGTACCTCAGTCCCCCCACGGTCGCCATGGCTCCGAGGCGAACCGGAAGCGGAACCGTAAGCCCCTGGGACCGTAAGTCTCAACGCGGCGGTGAGCGTCTTCCGCGGAATTGTGCCCGAGACAGTATCATCCAATGAGAAGAGCGAGTGCTTGCTGGCAGCCAATAAGCCATCTCTATGCAAATGTCCTTCAGGCGGAAATCGTACGTGGGCGGGACTTTGGCGGCCGTTCGGAAGTTGTCAGCGGGAGGCGAAGCGGCCCAGTGGCTGCTTAGGGACCTGTCGCGGGTGGCAGAAGTGGAGGGGGCAGGCGGTCGAGTGGGTGAGACTAGTTTTGATTGGGTTGCCTACCCGTGTTCCTTGCACTTTTTTTCCTGAAGAACACTGAGTCTTGGTTTGTCTCCCTGTGTGAAAAGGGGCAAATGGTGTAATGGAAAGATGAGAAAAACCAGATTTAGGCGGCCTAAGATAACAGAAATTAATAGGTAATTATTAAGTAGTTAATGGTTTAAGAAATGTTAAACCTGGTTAGTAGGTTTTTTTTTATATTTGATAGTTTCTCTTCAAATTAAGCCGACTCTCTTAGTAAGCTAACGTAACACTTACTGAGAACATCTGTATGCCAGATATGGTGCCAAGAACTTTCACATGATGTTACATTATTTAGTCCCTGCGATCCTGTGAGGCAGATTCTGTTGTTAACCCCATTTTGCAGTTGTGGAAAGTGAGGCTTCAGGTGGTTAAATATGCTCCGGGTCACAAAACGTGTGAGGTGACAGCTAGATTTAAACCTAGAGAATCTGAGTCTGAGCTTCACCTTTAAACAATATGCTGCACCAAATGTTTTTGGTTCTTGAAATGCAAGTTAAACATTTTGTAGAAGTTAATTTAACATATCATATTAAAAAGAACTCACTGCTCTGTAAAATGTTGATTCCTATAGCAAATACTTTAGTCAACTATGGTACATCCTTAACCTCTTGGGATAGAAATCTGGTGTCAGGATGGGTGGAAGTACTGCTTTTGCTGTAACTGCAAGATCCTAATATAATTATTGTATAAAGTATGGTGAACTATATCTGTTGGAGAGTTAAATGTCTGGGTTGTGTTTATGTCTTTAGGCTTTGATTCTTTTTTTTTTTTTTTTTTGGTCTTTTTTCCGTGTCCGGCAACGGATCACAACCCTCAGTGTTGCCCCCGTACCGGACCGGGCGCCGGCAACGGGATTGCAACCCTCGGTGTTGCTTCCGTGCCTCGCTCCGCCAGTGAGCGGGAACCGGTCTGTATGTGGGATCCGAACCCTCGGGCGGGAGCGCCGCCGCGCTTCCCCAGCGGCGCACTATCCAGTGCGCCACCGGGCCGGCCCTAGGCTTTGATTCTAATAAAGGAGATCTTTCCTTTATAATCTTAACACTCTGGAAGAAGACTTGAGGTGTGCGGGACAGCTGTGTAAATTCTCCACTCACTGCTCTCCTCCTCTTCAGGATTACCTTCTTTCCTGTGTGTATTCCTCCCTTCATTTTGATTCACACTGTCACACTTGTCTTTATCTCTGTTGGATCTCTGAGGAAGATTTAGATGATTTGGTTGGAGATGGATAATGACCAACTGGTCGTTTCTACTGAGTCTATGAAAAAGGGAAATAGATAATAACTGGATTATATTCAGAGAAACTCTCAACAGTGAAGATGTGAAGCAACCGGAACAAGTTCGTTGGAAAACAAACGAAATTCTGCCACCAAAGATCCCAAGTAGTATTGATCCATAATGAGCAGAGGCAATCCAGCCAGAAGGCGAAAGCCAAAGTTAGTGGACCTCTGGAAAGCACTGCCAGCCCCAGAGTCTAATGACTATTTTATGATCCCTAACACCCTTAAGAGAAGCAGCCAAATTTAATTCTGAAATTAAAAATAACAAAAATAATGAAAGTGGCCACTGTCTCATTCTGATAAATATCCATTCTTTTTTCCATATCATTCTAAGCCAGGAAATCTCTTGTTTCTTCCTGGAGTCATGGAGACCCATGAGAATTTTGAAGTCAACTATGACTCCTCTTTTTCTGTCATAACTCATATCCAAGCCAATGACAAATTATATTGGCTGTAAGGATACAGCCAACAAGATCTATCCAAAAAGTAATTGCTTCTCACCACCTTCAGTGTTGTCACTCTGGTCCAAGCCTCCATGATCTCTCACAGTGATTATTGCATTATCCTCTTAACTCATCTCTCCACTTCTGCCTTTACCCCTACAGACGATTTTCCACAGAGGAGCTGAGTGATCCTTTTAACAAATGAAATCATATTGCTACTCTACCTAAAGCCTTTCAATGGATTTCCATATCACATTGGGTAAAATCTAGATTCTGTCGAGTGATCTCCAAGGACCTGCATGATCTGGCCATTTCAACCTTATCTTCTATCCCTTTTCTGTGGTCCTCACAGCTGCATGCATACTGGCCTTCTTGCTGTTCCTCAAACATTGCAAAGGCCTTTGTACTTGCTGGAATGCTTTACCTGGAATGCTCCCCCCACCAACATCCTTATGGCAAGCCTTTCTGTTTTCCTTCAGGCTTCTACTCAAGTGTCACCTTATTAGAGAGGCCTTCCCTGGCTATCCACATCCCCACCCCTTGCATTTCTTCTCAATTTCCCTTCCTTGTTATTCTCAAGAACTTATATGACCATCAGATACCTTATATATATAATGCTTTTTCTTAGGAGGTGGGGGAGAGGAAGTGGTTTCTCTTCTTACCGGAATGTAACTTCCGTAGGGCTGTATACATTTTTGTTGTTGTTTTGTTCATTGCTCTATTCGCAGGACCTAGAGCAGTGCCTGGCACACTGTAGTCAGTCAATATTTCCTAAAGGAGGGAATGAGCAAGTCTTTAGCATAGCATTTGGTGTAGAAAAGGTACCTGAAATACTCCTACACTATGTTATATTCCTCTGCTCTATCTTCCCAAGTGCCTGGTACTTCCTGTTTTATGGATATGAACCTCATTATATAAACTCAATTACACAAGAAATATCACTTTGAATTTTTTTTAATAAATCAATTTAATTTGTATTCCTAGTTCTAACTTGATCTCAGTTATTTTTACCTCCTTAACCCCATGCAACAGGGTTGGGCCAAGGTCTAGGGTCTAGGTATGAGAAAGCATTTCCATTTGTTAGGTGTCTGACAATGTTGGTTACCACAGAGGTGTCTACTGTTCTGGGCTTCCATGCCACTCTTGGGGCATTTGAATCTTTGGTATGCCAGGGCACCAGGAAAGGAATTGTCTTGCAGGCAGTTTCTGCTTTCTATCCTTAAATCTGCTTTAAGGAAAGGAAACAGAGAGCTTGCTACTTGACTGATGGAGGGAAAACAAAGGGGAAAAAACCTGAGAAAAACATAATAGCTCAAAAATGATCTTGTTATTTGCACATCCAACTTGAAATTACTTGTTAAATGTCTTTCTTTTCCTTTAGACTGTAAGCTCCAAGAGGGCAGGGGCCATTTTTCTCTTATTGATTGGTATAGATAGATCTACCTCTAATATTTGCCAGGCTTAGGGAAAGAGAATGGATGGATGCCCTCATACCATATGTATGAATATTTATAAGCATAACTCAAGCTGACAATATGTTAAGTATGTTCTATTCCTGTATCTTGAGAAATATATCTTCATAGTGACACAATAAAATATATGGGGTGAGTTATGTTTTTTATGTGACTGAAAGTTGGCAAAATTTCAAGGAATAAATTTTTTATAGTGCATGTCAAGTATCTACTGGTAGGATGTCATTATTTAAAAGAAAAGACATAATTCACAAGTTATATGTTTTTCATACAATTTGTTTTCTTACCTTCATTTCAGTAAAATCACTGTTGTTACAGTCCAGACATTCACGTAATTTATGTTCTTTTACCAGTAATGAATGCCAAATTATGAAATCTTTCTTGTATCATTGCAGTTATTAGATAGTTTTAAAAATTATTTTAGTTTGAAGAAATTTTGCTCTGCTAAAGTCATAGCAACTGGTATTGTCAGTAAAATTCTTAAAGCAATACATAGATTTGGAAATGAATTGTGTGTTTTACATATCAAGTTCTAACATTGTGATGGGGTCGCATATGATAAATTAACGGTAACCACAGTAAATATTCTGTATTATTTTAATTTTGCCACATAAAATGCTGTAACTTATATTTCAATTTTTACTATTTCTTATAGCAATATCTAGATACACATGAATAATGTAAAGAATTAGTATTTAGTTTCATACATGTTGTCCAAACTTACAAATACACAGATTTACGTGTAAAGAATAACGAAATTGTTTATTGCAAAATGCACCTCAGCTGCCGTGTGCAACTGTTAGGACTATTGTGCTAACTTGCGAGAACCTTTAAAGTGTGCATTGGAATAGGAAGAGAAGCAAGAAAATAGATGCTTGATACCAATGAAACATCATGATTTGCAAAAATCTGTTGCAGTTGTGCTATCTGAGAAGACATTGACAGGTTAGTATTTTCTTTTACCTAAATGCTCCTGCTGCCCAAATCCTTCCAGAACTTGGAAGCAGTGTTTGTCTCCTGTGTTAGCAAAGGTACAACCTGCAGACTGTCATGTCACTTGGATACAGTCATCTTTCGAGGACCTAGAGCAAGAGACGTGAAGTGTTTCCCTTGGACTAGAGCCCTGATAGTCACAAAAGCAAAAGTTTGGGGTCATGGGTTGCACTGGATCCCTAGTGACAGAGGCACCTCTGTATTCTTTAATGAGTTTGTTATTTTATATGTTTGTGTTAGTTATATGTGGAATCTTCTTAAATGTGAGGTCCAGGAGGGAGCCCCTCTTACCTAGATCTAAGGGTACTTTCGGCTGTATCCGTGACACTTAGGCAAAGTCTGGCACATAGTCATAGCAGATTTTTAATAAATATTTGATGAAATATTCTTTTGAGTGAATGGGATGAGTGCCTAGAAGAGATGTGTTGCTGGCTCTCTGGATGCTCTAGGATTGGAGAAATTTAAGAAAATAAGAGTTTCTTTAAAGTCCTGAAAAGAAGGAGAAAGCTTTCGGGGCAGGAAAAGTTTAGTACTGTTGGTCACGAAGAGACTATTTTCGAAATGTTCTCTAAACAAAATACAGCTAAACTCTTAAGTTGACTTTGAATGGACATGAGGAAGGTAGCTTCTGCTTGAGCCATAAAGCCTGGGCCCATAGTTTAGACTGAAAGAAGTGTGCTTCGTCAGAGATCAAAGGATAAAGTGCTCTGGCCCAAAACAGGGACTG